CTTAGAGCAGTATACATTACAAGTAGTCTTCAACTTACAACTGCTCATATAGTTACCATTCAAAGTTACAGTGGCACTGAAAAACGTGGCTTATGGCCATTTTTCACACAACCATTGCAGCATCCCCATGGTCATGTGATCAAAATTTAAATGCTTAGCAACTAACTCATATTTATGATGGTTTCAATGTCCTAGGGCAGGGGTGTCAAACTGCCGGCCCGCGGGCCAGACGTGTCACATGGAAGCCACGCCCATCCCATTGCCGGCAATGGCAAAACAGTCCCGATACATCATGCAATGTCACGTGATGTCGCGAGTTTGACATTTCTGTCCTAGGGTCATGTCATTACCTTTTGCAACCTTCTGACAAGCAAAGTCAATGAGGAAGCCATTTAACAACTGTATTACTGACTTTACAACTGCAGTCATTCATTTAACTGTGGCAAGAGAGGTCGTAAAATGGAGAAAAAATCACTTAACAACTGTCTCACTTAGCAACAGAAATTTTGGGCTCAATTGTGTTGTAAGTCGAGGACTACCTGTGCAACTTTGCTCCATGAGCTATATTGATTACCAGTATGCTTTCAGGTTCAATTCAAGGTGTTGGTAATGAATTATAAAGCCCTACATGGCATGGAATTGGGTTATTTGGGGGACTGGCTCTCTCCAATCATATCTAACTATCCCATCAAGTGCAGCATGAAGGGCATGTTGTCATCTAATTGGACCCAGAAGAATAATATTTTCTGTTGTAACGCCCACCCTTTGGACTGTCTTTACCCAGATTGGCCCTGACCTTGCAGACTTTCTAGAAGGCTTTGCTATCTGGCCAGTGGATCTGGGAATGTGGCTATGAAACCTATGAATGGCTGTATTATGAGGGACTGTCTAGAGATAATAGGGTTTTTATGCTTTTTAATTTTTAATGACTTTTGAGGTTCTGTTTTTTGTTATTGTACTTTTTAAGTTTGTCACTGCCCAGAGTCATATGGCCATATAAGTTTACCAAATAAATAAATAGAAAAATATTTTGGTTAAAGAATAATAAAATAAATTCTACTAAACTTATTGAGATTGACATTTGGTCGATATATAAATAATACATCATGCTTTTTTCTTAAGCTGTTTATTTTGGTCTTTGGTATCCAGACCAAACAAACAAAAAATTCAGAATTGCCAGCATCCATACACCAATTTAATTATTTAAAGACTATCATAACAATATATTGTTCCTACCAGGGAATAATTTCTGCAAGAATTTTCCAGTGTTGTTGACATAGGAGCTATTCTAACTATCTCTGTTTTACTGGCTACATGCCAATAAAAGCCACAGTGCCATCATATATATCAACATAAAAATAACACAGATAATACAACTTGCATCAAATGTGTCATGACATAATTTTCATATTTCATGAAATTAGTGTGCTGACATAGGTAAGTCCTCCTCCTTCCATGTCTTCCGAAGTCCCGAATGCTGTATGAGAATAGTATCAATGGGATAGGAATGAATGCACAAAGAGTTGGGGGAGAACTACCATTTATATGGCTTTTATCTTCCTTTTTATTGTCTTCCACACTTTAATATTTTTCCACCTTCACATTCCAAGCTCCCTATCTGTCGTCAGTCCTGAGTACAGTCTTTTAGGATTTAGGGCTCCTGTTTATTCCCAGCTGAAAATACAGATGAGTTTCTTTAATTGATGTCTTGATTGAGCTCTTTAGCATTTGACCCAGTTTCTGCATCAACAACACTGCAGCTGCAAGTGCACAGGATCACTTACTGCTACAAAAAGAAAATTCTTGATTTTTACCGCTTCATTCTGGTAAACCCCTCAAACTAGGTAATTAAAAAAATGCACACCTCTATTTGACAATTTAATCTAGTCCTATTTTACATGAATCCCTGCACCTAATCACATTGCAGCTGTCACACAAGAGTACAACTTTCATGTTCCTAACCTGAGTAGCAGTGTGTTAATATAGACACTAAAAAGTGATATTACTTGGATCCTGCGCTCTGAATAATAATTTGATTGCAGGTCTCTTGAAGATATACAGTTTTGAAGGTGTGATCAGTTTCTTTTCCCTCAGAAAGAACAAATGGATATTTATCAGTTTTGAAAAGTTGTAGCAAGAAAAAAATAGAATAAATATAAACTATCTTGGACCAGTTAATTCCAGGATCTGCCAGCTTCTGAAACTGATTATATATAAAATTATTATATATAAAATTATTATATATAAAAATGATGTTCATTTTTAAAAATACTCTAATGTGCTGGCATTGTGATATTGATAGGAACATCTGTATAAGACATTACAAAAAGTGCATTTAACATTAGTGAAAAGAAATTGGGCTTAAAGGAAAAATTAAAGTGAAACAATGTGCTCTGAAAGAATGGGGCTTGTGGAAAAAAACATATCAGAAAAAAATAGATGCCATTATGTGTAATGTAATATAACATTTAACAGGGATAGTAACAAGTTCAGTAAAGTGAATTAGTGAATTAGTGTTTTACACTCAAATAAATTTATATTAAATCATTTTCATATCTCTGGCTTTAACTGTACATTCCAACTGGTGATTACATGCAATGAAGCTATAGTTTCATAGCATGATTACATAATACTCATATTTTGTAAGAGTTCATATGACTTAGCAAGCATGAGACCACAATTGATTATTAAAACATCAGGATGCAATTGGTGACATAATTTCTCCACGTATATGTATTTCATATATATTGCCTTAAGCTCTCAGAATCTCCAGACAACATGCTATTGATTATCACATCTAGAGAGCGCGGGAGAAGGCTGTTGCAAATACCTGTCTTTTTAGCCTTATGTACTGTTGAACCTTTGTGTTTCTACTATGGCTGTAAAGAAAATTTGACAAACTTAAATTGATTTAAAATAGTTGAGTTGTGGCTGTTGTTTTTCTCTTGTACTCTTCCAGGATATGGTATCATTCCTCCTTTGCTGATCTTTGTGTAAGTGTCTATGGAGATTCTCAGTCATCCAGGTCATGGTTGTCCCAAAAGTGCTTTTTTTCAAGGCAATTGGACTTTCTTGTTTTTCTTGAAGACGTTTCGCTTCTCATCCAAGAGTATAAATCCTGCCATTCCTCACCATCCAGATAGAGCTGAAGAAGCTTCTTGGATGAGAAACGAAACATCTTCAAGAAAAACAAGAAGGTCCATTGCCTTGTGAAAAAAGCACATTTGGGACATTCTTTGTGTAAGGTTATACCAAAGGGCATAGTATGAACACAGGTGGTATTGAAATTAAAAACAGAAAAACTGTAGTAAAAATAACTGTAGCTTGCTGACAGTGTGAAAACATTGACAATGTAAATTTGTGTGGCCCAATAGTAAAATATTACCATCTGGAGATCATTAGTTCCTCACACTTGGCGCATATAAAACATCTGGCTCTCTCAGTACTTCCCTGGCTTCCCTATTCTTCATCATGGAAATAACAAAAAGCTTGATAAAAATTGTGAGATGTGCCATATGAGAAACTACTAAGTATTGGGACAATCAAAGTAGTTCTTCTGGTTAGTAACCTCAATCTTGTCTTCATTTGTCAAGTTGATATATAATTGGTTCCGGGAATTTTCCAGTGAAGAAAGGCTTTATTTATTGTATTTGCAGATTGAAAATGAGTTCAATTCTTTATTAGGCACAAAATGGATAGTAGTTGTTCAACTAATGTTTCAATTAATTTGTGAAACCAAGCCTATAAGCTAGCAAGAATAATTTTATAAGCCTGACTGTTGCTTACTTCAGTGTGTCATTTATTGTTTACTTATTTATGCTTATATGTTGCTCTATTTCCAAAGTTTCAAATGGCATTGGAAGTCTGGCATCATTAGATGTTGAGTAATTAAAAAAAAATCTACCTCAGAAATACACATTAACGTATTGTCTAAGCAAATGATGGCCGCCAACCCCCCCACACACACATACACACTTAATCAGAATAGTGAAAGACCTTGATTCTGTTGTGTGTTGTTCCCCAGATTTAAAATATAATTACATTTTACTATTTTCTCATTCACATCCATGTCAGTTCCCAGGAAATTTAATGAGAAAGCTTATAAGTCAGACTTGTTTCCAGGATGATTTGTCTACCTTGTGAAGGTGACATGGAACCTCAAATGATGGATACTGCCAGATTTTGATTAAAATGTCAGAAGTCCTGTAAGGAGGTCAACATAGTAAACTGAATAATGCATCCTTAACAGTTATTAATGCTAAAGTTATTTTTCAAGAAAATGAATGTTCATAAGACATAGATTCTAATATTCTGCATTATGCAATAAACAGAACAAACAGTTTTGTTTTGTTTTGTTTTTGTAATGAGGAGGTTACAAAAGCTTAAGACAGTGACTGCTGTAAGGCACTGGTTATCTCATTTAAACAGATATGAAATGTAGGTGCCAGTGGTATGATCATCAGCTGTTTTCTATTTTATGAATAAATTGCTTAGAAGGAGTCATTTGCCCACCAGATGTGACCTAGATTTAGATTTCCAAAGGCAAAAAGTCTATTGTGTAAAAACAAAAGAATTGCTGGTAAAATGCATGCTAAATTAGCTTATCTCACATTTTCAGGTGTTTAAGCTAATATGTTAAGGAATTAGTGCTTCATTTATTTAAAAAATTACAAAATACATTTCAGCAAATTAAATTTGGATAAAAGCTTACAGTAGTTACTGTTTCAATAACTACAATAAAGTAGCAAAACAAACTGGGAAGGCAACACCTATAATTTGAAATATAACAAATTGCTTTGTGAAAACAGGGCAGTAAGCTGTTGGCACTAAAATTTATTTTGGCATTAGGAATAATTACATTTTCTATAAACAACAGCAGGCCCTAGAAATAAAAGTTTTATGTCTGCCAGCCATGATGACTCTTCTTCTTATGATAACAAACTAATAAGCAAAGCATTCAATGTCTTATTTTCTTTTCTCTTTTCAAATATTGACTTTAGGTGCTGCCACGAGGAAACCAGATCCTGAACAAGAGAAGCAAACAGATCATACTGTTAAAATTGCTGGCATCATTGCAGGAATCTTGCTGTTTGTCATTATATTTCTTGGAGTTATATTAGTTATGAAGAAAAGGTGAGTAATTAATAGTCTATTTTGCTTAATTATTATATTTTATTTTGCCCAGTAAACTTACTTCCCTGGGCCTATAATGTGTCTGGGGTGTGGGTGTAGGTGAGAGAGAGAGAGCATGGAGATATAAATCTCCTGTATGTTCTTAAATAAAACTTATCTAAACTTCATGGCCAACCCTTTTTATGGATGATTTTAAAGAGGTAATGCTGTTTTTTACACCTAAAGTTTGCAAGTGTTGACTGAAACTCAGATCTGACATTTTTCTTTGATAGTATTGTAAGCAAATTAATGTTAGAGTGCTTGTGTTAAAATAACCCAACTTTAATAAGTACACCATAATATACCATATAATCAGCCCAAATGATATAATGTTTATCAGTATCTCTGCTGTAACTTGAAGGTAAGGTGAATATTTAATTCAATATAAAATTTTTACAAAATTGCTCAGTAAAACAGGCAGTAGGTTTCATAAGCAATTATAGAAAGTAAGCAAAATCTTTGGTTTAATTTTACTACTTGCAGAGGAATCCAATGGAAGAAATAAAATAATCCTTCCCAGATGGACAATTCCTTCAAAGTAAAAAAGAAAATCTTTAAATTTAATCCAATTAAAGAATAGATGTGAATTTGTGATTTGATTTTCCTTGAAAATTCATATTTTTCCGTCCACAGGGGAAAAAAATAAGATTGTACAATATTAATTCCACAGATAAGGATAGATTTAGCAAGTATTGTAAGGACAGCAGCAGACTCTACTCTTGATAACTAATTAATATGACTAGCATTATGGAAATATCAGGCTTAGGCAGTGGTGGGATTCAGCCAGTTCGCACCATTTCGGTAGAACCGGTAGGTAATTTTCTGTTGCCCAGGCCCAGAATGGACTTCTGGAAGCGGCATCCACATAGAGAACAAAAATCTTACTAAAAATACTAAACAAATTATATAAAAAATAAAATATAAGAGCTTAATAAATCAGAAACAAGCAAGATAGAAAAAAGGAAAAAATATGAAAAATCTAGATTTCTCACCTACACGTGAAGTATTCAACAATATACAAACATTTCAAATTATCAAGAAAAAAGGATTGTTGCAAAATATGAAATCTGTATTCAATGATACATTATATCATTTTTATTAAATTATATTTAGATGTATTAGTAAAACACTTGATTGATGGGATTGTACATTGAAAAAGATTTCAGTGGTTGTCTTTAGAATGTTCCTAAATTCATATTATTTAAACAATATAGAGTTTGGAGAGTTGAAGCCATGAACTGTCACTTTAGCAAGCTTTCATTTAGATGTATATTAGATCACTCCATTCATGTAACAGAGGGGATTTATAAAGAAATTGAAAATAAATTAATGACAAAAGTAGGTGAACATCTGTGAGAAAACCTCAGGTCATTTGGATCTTGGGTTAAGTTTTGCATCTCTTCATTCATAAAAATAAATAGAAATACTTTTGATATAGTTTGATTTCTTTGAAGAAATAAACATAACCATTATGAAATGGCAGTGTAGACTAAAAAGACAATACTCTAAGAAGTAAAGATCTAAATTACATATTTAGATCAAGAATTTTTGGTTATGTTTAATTTTGATATAACAGAGCTTTTCCAGAGCTTTACCGATTTCCAGAAAGTATGTTGAACTAATTGGTCAACCTAAAGAAATAATGAAATTGATTGAGGTTCTTCTTCCAAATGGCAGCACATATATACTTTTATGAAATACAAGCCAGAATTGCACAGAAAATACTTCTGAAGGGTTACAGAACTGAAGTATGCAAGTATGATTCACATAAGAAAGGAAGCTGAAAATCTATGGAGTATATTATTGCTTCTCATTCAGAGCTGGTTCTTAGCAAATATTAGGTATCCTCCTGCCTTTTCATTCTTTTATATAATACAAGTAGCATACAGGTAGTTTTTTTGACATATCTTCTTAAATTTTCATTTCTGATCCTATTCTTTTTATATCATTTTTTTTCCTTTATGTATTGGAAGTACCATGTGAGAAATATTGATAGACAAGGTATTATTATTATTGTTATTGTTATTATTTATTTTATTTCTGTAGGTTTTCTGGGCGGTGTATCATAATTACATATATTGTTTAGTAATGTATGATAATTCTATAATAATTCTAGCAAGTATTATGAATGTGTTTATGGGACATCAAACTATTTCATCTATCTTAATACTTTAAACCTATATGGAACCCTAACATAAAATAAGAAGGCTAGTGAAGCTATATTAATAAGGTTGTTTAGTTTTCTTTTCCATATCATAGATGAATGTCACTATTAGTTAAAATAAAAGGACGCTTATTTGCAGTAGTAGCTATGGGATATCAATACTTGACGCTTAATCAAAACAATAAAAAGATACCTTTTTTTTGTTAGTTGCGAAGTCGTGTCCGACCCATCGCGACCCCATGGACAACGTTTCCCCAGGCCTTCTGTCCTCTACCATCTTCTGGAGTCCATTTAAGCTCACGCCTACTGCTTCAGGGATTCCATCCAGCCACCTCATTCTCTTTTGTCCCCTTCTTCTATTGACCTCCCAGCATTAGGCTCTTCTCCAGTGAGTCCTTCCTTCTCATTAGGTGGCCAAAGTACTTGAGTTTCAACTTCAGGATCTGGCCTTCTAAAGAGCAATCAGGGTTGATCTCCTCTAGGATTGACCGGTTTGATCACTTGCAGTCCAGGGGACTCGCAGGACTCTTCTCCAGCACCATAGTTCAAAGGCCTCAATTCTTTGGCGCTCAGCCTTTCTTATGGTCCAACTTTCACAGCCATACATTGCAACTGGGAAAACCATGGCCTTGACTATACGCACTTTTGTTGGCAGGGTGATGTCTCTGCTTTTTAATATGCTGTCTAGATTTGCCATAGCTTTCCTCCGCAGGAGCAAGCATCTTTTAATTTCTTGGCTGCAGTCCCCCTCTGTGGTGATCTTGGAGACCAGGAAGATCAAATCTGTCACTACCTCCATTTGTTCCCCATCTATTTGCCAGGAATTAAGAGGGCCAGATGCCATGATCTTGGTTTTCTTAATGTTGAATTTCAAGCCAACTTTTGCACTCTCCTTCTTCACCCGCATCAAGAGGCTCTTTAGTTCCTCTTCACTTTCTGCCATTAGAGTGGTATCATCTGCATATCTTAGGTTGTTGATATTTCTCCTGGCAATCTTTAATTCCAACTTTTGATTCATCTAGCCCTGCCTTTCTCATGATGTGCTCTGCATATAAGTTAAATAGGCAGGGTAACAAAATACAGCCTTGCCGGACTCCTTTCCCAATTTTGAACCGATCAGTGGTTCCGTGTCCAGTTCTCACTGTTGCTTCTTGACCCGCATATAGGTTTCTCAAGAGACAAATAAGATGGTCTGGTACTCCCGTCTCTTTAAGAACTTGCCACAATTTGTTGTGATCCACACAATCAAAGGCTTTAGCATGGTCAATGAAGCAGAAGTAGATGTTTTTCTGGAACTCCTTAACTTTCTCCATGATCCAGCGTATGTTGGCAATTTGATCTCTAGTTTCTCTGCCTCTTCAAAATCCTGCCTGTACTTCTGGAAGTTCTCGATCCACATACTGCTGGAGTATAGCTTGTAGGATTTTAAGCATAACTTTACTTGCATGTGAAATGAGTGCAATGGTGCGATAGTTTGAACATTCTTTGGCATTGCCTTTCTTTGGAATTGGAATGTAAACTGACCTTTTCCAATCCTATGGCCACTGTTGAGTTTTCCAAATTTGCTGGCAAATTGAGTGTAGCACTTTTACTGCTTCGTCTTTTAAGATTTTGAATAGCTCAGCTGGAATACTGTCATCTCCACTAGGTTTGTTGTTGCTCAGCTTTCCTAAGGGCCATTTCACTTCACATTTTAGGATGTCTGGCTCGAGGTCAGTGACCACCCCATCGTGGTTATCAGGGACGCTAAGCTAGTTCTTGTATAGTTCTTCTGTGTAATTTTGCCACCTCTTCTTAATCTCTTCTGCCTCTGTTAGGTCCCTGCCATTTTGGTCCTTTATCATGCCCATCTTTGCATGAAACTTTCCCTTCATATCTCCAATTTTCTTGAAGAGATCTCTGGTCCTCCCTATTCTATTGTTTTCTTCTATTTCTTTGCACTGTTCATTTAAGAGGGCATTCTTATCTCTTCTAACTATTCTCTGGAATTCCGCATTCAGTTGTGTGTATCTTTCTCTTTCTCCTTTGCCTTTCGCTTCCCTTCTTTCCTCAGCTATTTGCAAAGCTTCCTCAGACAGCCATTTTGTTTTCTTGCATTTCTTTTTCTTTGGGATGGTTTTAGTTGCTACCTCTTGTACAATGTTGCGAACCTCCGTCCATAGTTCTTCAGGCACTCTGTCTATCAGATCTAAGTCCTTAAATCTATTTGTCACCTCTACTGTATATTCATCAGGGATATGATTTAGTTCATACTTGAGTGGCCTAGTATTTTTCCCTACTTTCTTCAATTTAAGCTTAAATTTTGCAATGAGAAGCTCATGATCTGAGCCACAGTCAGCTCCTGTTCTTGCTTTTACTGACTGTATATTCTCCATCTTTGGCTGCAGAGCACATAGTCAATCTGATTTCTGTGTTGACTGTCTGGGTGATGTCCATGTGTAGAGCCGTCTCTTGGGTTGTTGGAAAAGAGTGTTTGCTATGACCATCGTATTCTCTTGACAAAATTCTATCAGCCTGTGCCCTGCTTCATTTTGTACTCCAAGGCCAAACTTGCCTGTTATTCCATTTATATTTTGGCTTCCTACTTTAGCATTCCAATCCCCCATGATGATAAGAATATCATTTTTTGGTGTTGATTCTATAAGGTGCTGTAGGGCTTCATAGAACCGGTCAATTTCATCCTCTTCAACACCAGTAGTTGGGGCATAGACTTGGACTACTGTGATATTGAATGGTTTGCCTTGGATTCGCACTGAGATCATTCTGTCATTTTGGGGATTGTATCCCAGTATTGCTT